ACAGCGGTTTTCTATTGGTCCACGTCATTACTAAATTTACATAAGTTTTTGTTATTACAAAATAAAAATTAGTGAATATAAAAAATTAGTGACGTGGACCAATAACAAAATAAAAATTAGTGAATATAAAAAATTAGTGACGTGGACCAATAGAAAACCGTTGTCCCGTAGACACACATTTTATGTATGTCCACAAAACTGGTTTGTTCAAAACCAGCTTTGAGACAAATCAATGGAAAAACATATGAATGTGTCTAAGAATGGGAGATAAATTTAAATTTTTGCAGATGTTGCTTCAATGTTTGTGGAGAAAAAACTTGCTACTTTGAATGAGGCCTTGTAGGGTTTGCTTCAATGTTTCTGGAGAAAAAAATGTGCCGACAGTACCTTACCTTACGGATAAAAATTGGCTAAAGTTGAAAACATATATTGTCTTGAATACATGTGTCATGCCCTTTACTGTGTGAAAGAGCTTTATGTTGTTCCATGTTCTATATATTTCCATTCATGTGGTTATGCCCTCCTCAGTCTTTAACAAAAGCAAAGTCTGTCCTTCAGTTTCAGATGCTTACCTCTATTTACACTCATTTTCCTCACATGAATTTTCTTTTTCTTTTAATCTACTTTCACTTTATTCTTTTATATGAATATAAAAACATTAACAACCAGGTTATCTCTTCTGTTGTGACTATTTTACTCATTAACTTGGGAACCAAACCTCTCTTCTTGCCTCTTCAAGTAAGGTACTTTCAATATAGCTTACATTTGTTATATAGTATATACTTTCATTTACTAGCTCTCTAAACACAACATGCATTCATCTTTCTTAAAGCATTTTTAACATACTGGCACACTGCAAAATCTGCACTTCACATAGGTGACCAAAGTACCAGTTGCCCTCGCCTAGATCTCTGGTCTTGTCAGTGGATTAGACCAAGCAAACACTCTTACGGCATCAATTGGTAGTGTAAAAACTACCAATATGCATAATTTGACAAAATGTGTTTCTAATGCAAGCTGCTATATATATTTGCATAATGCAAGCAAGTATAGCAGCTGTTATATCTATATCTTCATCAAGTCACACGTAACATGAAACTACGTATTATTTTTCTTGTATCAAATTTATATGCAAGGTAAGTTGCGTACCACTTTTTTTGTTCCAACTAGTTTATATTACATGGACTCTACGCATATATTTTGCATTGTATGAACTCTACACACATAGATAAACTGTATTTTATATTGTATGGACTCTACACACATAGATAAACTGTACGCAACATCAAAGTGCGTATGAAATATAAATATAACAATTTTTTGTTGTTGCATTAGGGATACTAAGTAAAATGCACGTGTTATGCACGTGATTATTAGTTCTATGATATTTAGTGTCCTTATTTTGTGGTAGAAAGTAAGTAAGTTTTTCTGATTTGTAGGTAACTACTTATTAAAGTTTATTTATTTATGCTAAAATTACCTTGTAATCCCTATAAAAATTATATTTGAGAGAAGATATATATTATTCTGGTTAATAAGAAAAAGAAGATTTTGGGTAAAAGTTTTGCATTAGGAAAAAAACTCATGCTCCTGAGTTATAAGAAGTAGAGATTATTGTTCAATTATGCATAAAACATTTTTTGCATGCTTCTATGCAATCCTAAGTGGAGGTTATTCAGTCTTAGGTGGAGGCCATTTTTTTACAATACCCATTAGAGATGCTCTTACATTGCTTCCACTATGTAAATTGCCGTCAAAAAGCATTTTCAGAAGCACATACATTATAATATTATATATTACTTTTTGCGTAAATACTATTAGGGGTGGAGATTTCTGCTAAAATATCGATTTTTTCTGAATTTGGACCACAATAATACAATTACAATATACTGTTCTGATTTTTGTCAACAGTTGATGGTTCCTACTTCCTAATTTCTACTGTAATATAAAGTTCCTAATTTCTACTATGAAGTATAGGTTCAGGACTACTCTGGAGAAGGGACAGAATGGGCATTCCTCAAACGGCCAAGAAGCTTTGGAATGAATGGGACATCCGGTTATTTATCCTGAGTAGTCTTTTCTTGCAAGTTCTACTCATTTTTCTCGCACCTATCCGTAAGCGAAAACTATCAAGACAGTTAAGTCCATTTATCTGGGCGTTTTACTTACTAGCTGATTGGGTTGCGGCTTTCTCCCTCGGCCTCCTCTCTGACAGTCAAAATGATAATGACAACTGTGGGGCTATTGCGAACAAGATAAGACGTTCTGCAGGCCACTTGATCGGCAACAACACCAACAAGGAACTGCAGGGATTTTGGGCTCCCTTTCTCTTGTTGCACCTTGGAGGACCTGACACCATTACTGCATTCGCTCTTGAAGATAATGAACTGTGGCTAAGGCATTTACTTGGGCTACTCTTTGAGTTAGCAATGGCAGTTTATGTCTTTTCACGGGCATTCCCCATGGAAAGACTCTTATTTCCAACTTTACTTATGTTTTTTGCGGGAACAGTCAAGTACGGCGAGAGAACACGCGCTCTTTATCTTGCTAGCATGGATGGTTTCAGAGATTCCATGCTTCGAAAGCCTGATCCTGGACCAAACTATGCTAAACTCATGAATGAGTTAACTTCAAAGATTGAAGCCGGTCTGCCAGCAGATATAAAAATCAAAGAAGAGCTAAACAAAGAAGAGCTAAACACTACTTTAACTGTAACAGATGATGATGACGGACCTGAACCTCGTCGGTTAACTGACATTGAAGTGATAACAAAGGCTCATCAATTAGTCGAAAAGTTCAAGGGGCTCATTGCTAATCTTATTTTCAGCTTCAATGATCGAAATGATAGTCAAGCCTACTTTAAGAAACGAACTCCCGAAGATGCCTTTAGGATAGTGGAGGCTGAATTGAACTTCATCTATGAGGTTCTCTATACCAAGGGAGCTGTGGTGCATACTAGAACTGTCTATGTCTTGCGTGCTTTTTGTTCGTGTGCCATTCTTGCATCTCTCATTTTGTTTGTTTTCACTAAAAAACATAACTATGATAGGATTGACATAGGCATTACCTATGCACTGCTCGGTGGTGCCGCTGGCCTAGATGTTGTAGCTCTTATAATGCTCGCTCTCTCTGACATTGCAATCATCTCCTACACTAAGCCGTCTGAAACCAGGTTTGTCCAGCCACCTGAAACGAAATCGATTTCCTTTGACATCTTCGAAAAGATTCAATCTTCCAAAAATCCCAGGTGGTCTGATTCAATGGCCCAATACAATCTGATAGATTACTGCCTCACCAGAAGCCTAAGATGTGTAACTTGGACTGTCTCCAAATTAGGCCTCAGAGACTTACTAGATCACTACCTATACACATCTTACACACCTGTGGACCCAAAACTAAAAGAGTTCATTTATTCAGAGTTGATGAAGAAATCCAAGAGGGCAAAAGATGCTAGGTCCATCAAGATGTTGTGCTCGTACAGAGGTAGTTCGGCTCTTGAGGAAAGTGGTTTTCAAAGTATGCTCGGATGGAGTATTGAAGCAGAATTTGACGAGAGCCTTCTACTGTGGCACATTGCCACAGACATATGTTACAATGTTGACAATTCTAACAATCATGACAAGGATACTGCCACCAATAATACCAGTAACAGTGATATTAAGCCAGAAGGAGGAGGAAACACTAACGAGCAGAACACTGGATACCCCACAGACACTATCAAGCCAGAAGAAGGGAACCACCGTGAGATGAGTAAGAAACTATCAGAATACATGCTATACCTTCTAGTCGTGCAACCTTCTATGATGTCTTCAATGGCTGGAATCGGATTAATTAGATACCGGGACACATGTGCAGAGGCCAAAATGTTCTTTCCTATACAGAAGTCCAAGACAAAAGAACAAGTTCGGAAGATGTTGAAAGAGGTGAACACAAATTATAAGCCTAAAGATGTCAAAGGAGACAGAAGCAAATCTGTCCTATTTGATGCAGTTAGGCTTGCAAAAGATCTCGATAAACTGCCAGAACTAAGGAAATGGAATATCATTTGTGTGGTGTGGGTGGAGATGTTGTCATATGCTGCAAGCCACTGCAGAGGCCATGCTCACGCCGCTCGATTAAGTAAAGGAGGTGAGCTTCTCATGTTTGTTTGGTTCTTGATGGCTCAT